CATCAACACAACGTCAACAACAAAAGCAGCAGCAACAACAGCGATGGAGGAGCCGCCTTGGGATCCTCGCCGTTTGACGTCTCTCGAGGACATCAGGGAGGCGTATGAGAGGCTGTGCAAGGAGGAGGTAAGCCAGGCAAATGACACTCTACATGCTATAAACTCGTGGTCAAAAAATCAGATAATTCGTGGATGTGTGCGTTACGTATGAGCAACATATTAGGACGAGCTAGTTTGAATGACATTTTTTTTTTTTTTTTTTTTTGGTTGGTGCTAGAAAAGTACATTACTGACAGTTTATGTGGAGATAACATAATATTAAAGATGCTCCTTTGGGTAATTATCAAACTGTTAAATTCCAGTCCTAACTTAGAGACAATGCATTCACTAAAAGGAAGGTGCAAGTCTCTGATTTAAATGGAATTTATAATGTGAGGTGATAAGTTAGGGCGTCTTCCATACACACTATAAAAGTTAATCCAGTATTAAAGTTTAAGCCAGATCTCTAATGCGCATGCACAGTGGCAGCATCTAGGATTAAATTTAGTTCACCTCCGGACAAGGCTTTCAAGTTCACGTCTTAATCCTGCACATGCGCAGAATGAGCTACTTTATCCCACCAATCATGTATTGATATTCAAACTGCAGATATAACTCTCAGCATTAAAAAGAAAAACAGTTGTATTGAATTATCTCATAAGAGCTATATTTTCATAAGGTAATGTCCCTTTACTTTTCCATTCATACTTTTTACATTTCATTTTCTGCTTTTTCTTGATAGGTTGCAGTTGCCGAACGCCTGGAATGGAGTGTTGGCAACCGTCATCATCTCGAAGCAAGGCTTTCTCAGTTGGCAAGATTAGTTCCAACACTTCAGTTAGTCCAGGCTGATGCAAGACAGCTGGAAAATACCATTTCATTTACTCATCAGTTAGCTAATAATGTGTCTGCCAAAGTGAGGCAGTTGGATTTAGCTAAGGTTTGTTTTTTGGAATGTATCATAGGTTATTTATGATGCATTGTCACAAAGACTTTCAGTATAGATTATGAGATATTAAATATGTTGTCTTTGTATTTATTTGTTGCAGAGTCGTGTTGTGGAGACTCAGAAGAGAGTGGGGGATTTGTTAGATCTAGAAGGGTGCAGTGGTGGTGTAGCCACTGCTCTGGCTCAGGAGGGTAATATGGAAAATTTGAGTTATTTGAGCTACTAAAGATGATAATTCTTATAAGTCATTTAAAATGAGAATAAAATTTGTCTCAATTATAAGATTTCTAGTTAATGATAGTTAGCAACTCATATGTTTTATGTGTGTCTTTTAGATTATGAAACTGCAGCAGCACATATTCATAGATTCTTGGCTATGGATGAGACCCTTTTACTTCACACAACTGATTCTTCTAGTAAGGGTAAGTGCCATCTGATATGACATTGATTTATTAAAGTAGTCACTTATACAGAGTAGTTCATATTATGTTTTGCTATTCTTTTTTTGTTCATCTTTCTTTACAAATTCATATTAAAGTTGATATGTTTGAAATAATTTATTAATTAAAGCTGAAAGTGTGGAGACCTGGTTCGACCGGTTACGGCAAGCTGAGAGAGAACTCAATGCACTCATAACAAGAAAGTTTGATGATGCAGTCAAAAGTGAAGATATGGCTAGTGTTGATAGATTCTTCAAGCTTTTCCCTCTTTTAAATAAGCATGATGAAGGACTAAAGAAATTTACTACATACCTATGTGTAAAGGTAGGTTGTGTTCTAATCATACATGAGAAATGAATACATTTGTTATACTACATTGTATTGGGATTATGAATCTCCCCTTTGAAACCATATATGGTATTCTTTTAAATCATTATATGTCAGTTTGTTAGAAAGTATTGAATTGAAATGGATGATGCATATATGATAACTGATTGTGTTTATTCTATATTCTATATAGATTCAGGAGTCCACAGCACAGCACCTGAATGCAGCACAAACCCAGGGGCCAAGAGAGAAGCGATCTCATGTCATTTGGGCTGATACCATTACCCTGCTCTTTGAAGGCATAGCAAGGACAATTGAAGTCAGGCAGCCCATTATTGAAACTTATTATGGTAAATGTAGACTTTTATTCTTAAGGGGATATGTGGTACCTGGGGCCAGGGTAGTATAGTCTCGCTGTAGCATACAATCTAAATGTCTGTCATGGGTTTTATGGACAAAGGTCTTAACACACTGGAGAGTGTGTGCCATAGAATGAAGGCTAATTTTCACTGAAATCCCACTTCAACAGAGTCTGCCTGCACACTTATCTCTGAGCTTCTGTATTTCATCTTAATCCTGGTTAAATAAATCTCCAATGATTTAGTCACCCTGGGGACTCCCAGTAGTGAGGTCTGGGATTAGCTACATTTTATTGTTTGAGGAGTTGGTCTACTTCTTACTTCTCATTGATGATACTTGAGTATAGGTTCAGATTTAGTATAGATACTGATATCCTCCTAACTTTATTAAAGTTAATTCTTTATATTTTTTCAGGTCCTGGACACTTGGCACTGGTGGTGGAGATGCTTCAAAGGGAATGTGACAGGCAGGCAGGTCGCATTGTAGGGGAGATGAGGAAACACAGAAGACTGGATGCTGTTGTGAACTCTGTTCGTGATTCTTTAAGGTATTGAGAATTATGATATTAAATGTTTGGGTATGTGTGTGTGAGTTTTATCAAGCCAATATATAAGTTATGAGACATAACCAGTCAACAGAATCAGCATCTACATACTCCTTATTTTCTCAGAGTTAGTGGGGGCAAGGAACTACGAGCTGATCTCCCTGATCCCAGAGACCTCGATACTCTCCTAGGTGAACTGACACTCATGAATGCTCGTGCTGAACTCTATCTTAGATTTATCAGAAGAAGAGTTGCTGTAAGTTGTTTGGATTTAACCTTCTTGTGACATTCGGACTAAATATGAACATTTTTGTTACTAAAATCATATAAATTTTGTGAATATTGTTTGTAGGATGTCATAAATGTAGAGTGTAAATATGATAGCTGCACCCCTAGGTTATGATTTTATATTTCTGCATGGAAGTAACTGTGAAGCAAAATTCTTGGTTGTATTATTACCTTACAGTAAAGTGCTATATAATATTATAAGTTCCAGTAACTGATTCATTGTAGAGTTATGGTTTTGAGCACAGCTGAGCAATAGTGCTTAGATATTTATCCATAGGTTCTTACTTTGCCAGGCTGACTTTGAAGCTTCCATTGTTGACAAAGAGGAAAGAGAAAAGCATGAATCCGTCTTTGAAGGGAGGCTGTCTCGCTCTCAGCTGGTCTGTGATATGGCTATTATTGTGGGAGATTACACAATCCTCGAACAATTTTACTTGAACGAGTCTTTCAAGAAAGCCCTGGCTATGGATACCATTGAGGAAGGAGCCAAAACATCATCATTGGTGGATGATGCTTTCTATATTATCAAGAAGAGTGTGAGGTATTGGATACTTTTTTGTGTGTTTATGTGTGGGTGTAAGTATGGGTGGGTGTCTACATACATAATGTGTTTTGTTTCTGTTTATGAAATTCCTGTTTCTAGTTCATCATGCTTGCTATTTATTTATTGAATTAGTTACCTTTTTATTTATTTATAAAATGATTCTAAATGTATAAGGTTTTCTTCACATTTACTTTTCAGACGAGCAATTGCATCAAGCAGTGTTGATGGTGTGTGTGCAATGCTGAATCATTCTGTGACCTTAATTGAGACACAGCTGGCTGGTGGATTTAACCAGACATTGAGGAAAGGTTTCCCTGCTCAGGGTTATTTGGATTTAAATCAAGTGAGTCACTTGAATTTAATTATTGAATGATCAGGTGTTAATCAGAAGTTATATGTAGATTGCATTCAAATGGAGAATTGAATATTAACTGTTGCCCTTTTAGACAAAATATTGAGCACTTCAAACAAGCAAAAGTAGAGTTGTTTAGCTTCATACCGAAAGGATTTGAAAAATAAAATCCCATATTCATGAGATTAAGCAAAATACAGTGTTCAGCATGACAAATAGAAGTAAGTATCTTTGCAAAGGAGGTTGAATTATTTGACTTCTAAAATATACAGTATTGTGACACAAACACAGTATTGTGTATGATGTTTGTATATCACAGTCACCTATCCTTTAAGAAATTAATTATCTTTATTCATACTTTCGTTAAGAATGTTCAGTTTGAATTTATTGCTTTAAAATGCATTTCCAGGCTTACACAGTTTTGCAGTCATCCCTCCAGTCCACTCTCCAGGCTGGCAAAATCAACCCATCTTCCACAGATTCGGATGCTCTTAGACAAGCTTTCTTGGTAATTACTATTCTATTTATCTTGGTGTATTAAATTAGATGATGTAAAAAGGTACAAATGAGAAAGAATAACTTACAATACAAGGATAAGTGACACATTGATTTTATATCTTTATCAGAAATACATGTAATTCTGAAGTATATGTAATCAAAACACAGTTGTATCTTTTGCTTTTTTCTGTTAGTCATGTATTATGCTCATTTATCCAGTTTCTACATTTATCACTATGAATTTTGTTCACACTAGAGGGTATTTTGATTGTATATGACAGATACTGAATTGGTGTCTAACACTGTACTGGCAGTTTTGGTGAGATCTCCAAATATTGGACTCCAAATGGATATTTGATTAGTTTAACTTTATAAATAGTATTAACATCAGTTCATAAACATAAAGACAGATTTTTCTGTTATTTGCTTATTTACTATTTATTATTATTTTATTGATCACAGACTGCACTTAATAATGCTGAAACAAGTATGCGTCATGTTAGAAGCCTGCATCAAACTCTTGAGGAAAACATTACTAGTGCCATGGTAGCGTTGACACCAACAGCCAGAGCAAAGCTGGAATCTTGCTTAAGTAAGTAGATTAGTGTATTTCAAGTATGGCACAGTTAATCAAAGTAGATAACGGATGTGCGTCTGTATGTCATGATAAAGTATAGAAATTATTTTTTATTTAGTTTGGCTATGACTGAAGAGATGAAATAGTAATTATGTGTAGCCTACTATTTTAAGAGTATAATACTTGCCCCTTTGTCATTTTATCATCATCATGATTGTGTACAGTAATATATTCATTTCCATTATTTTTAATAGATGACCTAAAAGGTACAACAGGAAAACTTGGAATGGTTGGTGAATTTGGCATATCACAGCTTAGAGCCACGGCAATAAAGCCTCGAGTCAAACCCTGGGTTGATACATTTACAATAACTTCTCATGATATTTCTGAGGTAAGTCATCAACTGTGTTCTATTTATTTAAATATAAGGATCTGAATATAATGTAATTAATACCCTTACAAACCCTTGTCTTGTTATTATTTTTGGTATTAATGTTATTATCAGTAAAAGTTAAGAAAGTGTTTTATTGCAATTTCAGTTTTCTGTTTTTACTACAGTAATAACATAGGCCAAAAGATCTCTTTCAAGTGGTATTGTAGGCATCTTATCATCACATCTGCAGGATGAATTTGCATGCTATGAGGCCAATGACCCATTCAGCCAGACTTTAATGGTCCAAGTGGATGGGCTGCTTGGCTCCTTCCTTCCATTGCTGACAGAGGAGAACTACAAGTCCTTAGTCTCTGTCCTTGTAGCAGAAGTTGCAGCACAGCTGGAGAAGGCAATTATGAAGTCAACATTCAACAGAGTATGTTTTACAAACCTACAATATTTCTGGTTTGGGACTTTTTTTTTTTTTTTTTCAAAATTTTATTACATGATGCACATTCATCAGCACTGATACTTTTTTATATGTGTGTGTAATTCTGTAAGACTGCAATTAAGAGTTTGTATATGTCTGCAGTTAGGAGGATTGCAGCTTGACCGTGAAGTGCGAGCCATTGTTGGATATTTGTCCCAAGTCTCAGAATGGAGTGTGAGGGAACAGCTGACCAGACTGACTCAGATGGCAACTCTACTCAACTTAGAAAACTTAGCAGAAGTAAGAAATCTTCTTCCTCATGTACAACAAATTGGCTTTGTGTTACAGTGGTGCCAAGTTTGATCTATACATATTGTTACACAATTGGATGTCTCACCATAAATATTGTCCCAAATTTTACAGGTTTCAGAATACTCGACCACAACCACGTGGAGACTAACACCTTCAGAAATGAGAAAAGTCTTGCAGCTTAGGTAAGGAAATCATGTATATGCTAACATGGCAAAGAGTCCATTAGATTTACTTTATTTCATCATAAGATGCACGGTAATCACTTTCAAGAAATGTTAAAATTTTGGTAAAATCAATAATGAATAGAGGTCTCCCAAGGCCATAAGCACTACAACGTAGCTGTCATCTTCTTATTAATTTTTTTTTTTTTTTCAGAATTTTATTACATGATGCACATTCATCAGCACTGATACTTTTTTATATGTGTGTGTAATTCTGTAAGACTGCATTTAAGAGTTTGTATATGTCTGCAGTTAGGAGGATTGCAGCTTGACCGTGAAGTGCGAGCCATTGTTGGATATTTGTCCCAAGTCTCAGAATGGAGTGTGAGGGAACAGCTGACCAGACTGACTCAGATGGCAACTCTACTCAACTTAGAAAACTTAGCAGAAGTAAGAAATCTTCTTCCTCATGTACAACAAATTGGCTTTGTGTTACAGTGGTGCCAAGTTTGATCTATACATATTGTTACACAATTGGATGTCTCACCATAAATATTGTCCCAAATTTTACAGGTTTCAGAATACTCGACCACAACCACGTGGAGACTAACACCTTCAGAAATGAGAAAAGTCTTGCAGCTTAGGTAAGGAAATCATGTATATGCTAACATGGCAAAGAGTCCATTAGATTTACTTTATTTCATCATAAGATGCACGGTAATCACTTTCAAGAAATGTTAAAATTTTGGTAAAATCAATAATGAATAGAGGTCTCCCAAGGCCATAAGCACTACAACGTAGCTGTCATCTTCTTATTAATTGATTCTCTCATGAAGACTTTGGCCTTTCACCAATTTTCTCTGTCGCTCTCCTACATTATTTTGTTCATTGTTTTCCAATATATATATATTTTTGTTCTTTTCAGGGTTGATTTTAAAGCAGACGAGATCAAGAGGTTGAAGCTGTAACATGTTGTTGTTTTGTCACTTACATATATGTATATTATATTTGTAGCATTGTTATTCAATCATAAAATTCCTGCCATAATCACCAAAGAAAGGTAGTTCACTTTTTCTTACTTTATTTTCTTTTTCTTTTTTCTTTTATATTAATGTTACTGGTCTGATTTTTTTTTCATAGCTGTGTTAAGATTTTTTCACCTTTTTTTGCCTTGGATTCTATTTGTGCAAATATGATTAATGATGGGGTATGGCTGATTTTCTCTTTGGTAAATTGATGTCTTCTATTTATTTATGTTAATCATATATAAAGATATATATAAAGCAGTTTGATTTTTATTTTCCTCTCAAAGTAAAAAGAATTTCCAAAAAGAAATTCCTAAATGTATGTGATCTATTTCACAAATTCAATTGAGATGAAAATAGGGAGGGAATTTGGTTATATGTATATATATAAACATTCAGTTATAATAAATACTGCCAAAGGTAAGAAAATAGATAAACAAAATTGGAAAGAACACACCTGATCATTCATTAAAAAAAATAAATCATAACTTCTGACACAGTATTGAAATTTTGTAGCATTTTTTAAAATGTTTTCCATTAACATAAATACTAAGTTGTCTATAAGTTAGCTTTTTTAACATATACTAGCCATTTTTGCAATTACATTTTTTATGTACTCATTTATAGTCCAGACTTTACAGAAGAGATTGAATATTTGAATTGTGTTTTCTAACATTATGACAAACTGATGTGAGAAATGGGAGTTTTTGTTTTTCAGAAGTTTTATGAATCATAAAATAATACTGTACTTTTTAGAAAAATACATATTTAACCCTCCACCCCCATGATATGTGAATATAAAATCAGGCATGACATTTTCTTAGGAAGAGTAAAAGAGTGCTACACATAATTCATTGTACATAAATATGCATGCAGAACTCATCCCCAAGATCATAAAATTATTATTTTTGTAAAGTGTAAAAGAGCATTCTGCTGCTGTATGTACATCCCCTAATCCCTTGCTCGTTGTTGTCGTGGGAGGCTTAGGAGACAGAGGCTGGGGTCCAATGTAGGGAATCACCCCTAAGTGGACCTCAGTCTTTTCTTCTCTCCCTTTTCATTCCTTTTCTTTTTCATCATCCCTTCTGTCCATTTCCAAAGGTGTGTGAGCTGTGCTGAAAAGATGAAAGGCTGGCTTTGTGTCAGTCATGAACGTCCTCCGGTAGCCCAAGGGTACGGTATTCACTTGGTTATTTATGTAGCCCTTACCCCTCATGGGGACCTTAGAGGTAGACTGTTTCCTCTTCTCATTTATTTCAGGCTTACCATGGCCGATAATGAATATGTTTTGCCCTTATTAGGAGCATTAAGTTTTGCCCCTTCAACAATTTAAATTTGATTTCAATAGTTTCCTGACCCTTGCCTCTCCTTTGGTCACGGCTCCAATTGATATTATCCGTTTATCCATTTCGAATCATCCACCCACGTCATTACTCAACCTTCAGAATACACCCCTTTCTCTCTCCCAACATCTTCAACTCCATCTTCTATGGCACAGTATTCTTCATTGTCTACCCCAACCCCCCTTATTACTACTCTTCATCCTTATTGTCCTCCTCCCAACAGTACTACCTCTCTCCCTATCACATCTTCATCCTCGATCTTCGACTGCTTCCACCTCTGCAAACCTTTTGGGTACCCTCTTTGGCCCAGCTAAGTGGAATCAATTCTTTGTGATTCCCCCTACAGCCCCATACTTGGACAATACCCTTCTCTTACAACAATGTCTCCAAAAACAAGAAGGCAAAGTTTCCTTTCCCAGTCGTCCCAATCATTCACGACTAGTCACAGTTACATCTAAGTTCCAAGCTCGTGCACTATCTACCCTGACTGACTCACTGGTAAAACTATTCCTGCCCAACCTCACTCCTTTCTTAATACTCGTTCCAGAACTGTTTCCGTTATTCCAACTGACTGTATACAACAAGGACTGGTCAGACTGTGAAAACGACTTGCTCGCATGACTCATCGACTATGATTCAGTGGGAGTCTAGTGCTACACTATTCCTCCCAGTGGCCAAAAGTCTTTCATTAATATTGCCAAGATTAGCTTCCGTAGACACGGCCATCCCCATGAAATTTATATTGGTTTAGTGTCCTTCCCTGACCGACCTCTACCCCCGCAGTGTCAGACATGTTGGCGTTTTGGCCACCCAGCCAAACACTGTCGCTCCACAACCCAACCAGGTCATGACCATTCAAATTGATCTGCTCAGTCACGCACGTGCCAATTGTGGTGGCTCCCATAATTTATTTTACAGGAGTTGCCCAGCCTACAAGTTCGAATCTGAGGTAGCAATTCTCAGATTCAAACTAGGTCTCACTCTACGTGAGGCCAAAGAAGAAGCACACGGACGAGGTTTTTCCCTTTCTACCTATTCGAAAACTGTACTTCGCTCCAATCTCTACCACTTCCCTACTACCTACCCCTTTCCCTCCTTCTCACTCAACCTGTCGCATCAGACAATCTAAACGTTCCACTCCATCTTCTCCCACTACATCCTCTCCAACACCCACCTCTCCCTCTGCTAATCGGACATATATGCCCTCCTCTCCACCGCAGAAGAAAAACCTTTGTTTCTCAGGCCTCCCCACCCAGAAACTCATGAAGACATCCAAAAGTTCATAAACATGACTCAAGAGAATGATCCACTCCCTCATCCACCCTCTAATCCCTTTATTCGCTCTACATTCAAAGTATCTGCCGATATCCATCCTCCTCCTCCCCAAGTTCCCCCTACCCCTCTTCCTCCCACTGGCCCCAAAAACGCACCATCCTCTCCTCTTCCTCCATGTGCATGACCATTCCCTCTCCCTTCCCCATTATCCTTACCACCCCCACTTAGATGCTCACCTGACTCCCTTACCGGTCAAAATACTGTCCTTCTGTGGATCCCTCCCCTCCTGACATTCTTCCCAATACTTCACCACCTTCCCCTGTTCCCTTATTTAATTCGCAGGATTCTTACGTTCACAACTATCGTTTCTTACTGTATTACCATTTGATTGTTTCATAATAGCTCTTTTGCAGTTACTCCCCTTTCTTCAGACACATACTCGCCATTTGAGCTGACCCCCTACACCTTTAACCATATCCTTTTACAAATCTCCACCGTATTCCATTTGCTCCCCCTCTGTACCCTTTTCAATCATCTAACACATTGTATCCTGATCGTTAACTCATTTCCACCCTTTTCACCACAGTACTCTACCATAGTGTTATATGATCCTTGATATCTAGCATATTTATTTCTTCTAACCATTAACGTATAATACATTTTACATAAATACATATGTAGGAAAAAAGGAAGTTGGAGATCTGCTGAGTCTATACTGTGTGTATACTGTACTGTTTACTGTAAGTACGTGCTTGTGTTAAATGGTGCTACACACAATACATTGTACATAAATATGCATGTAGTACTCATCCCAAAGATCATATTTTTTTATAAATAGTAAATTAGCATTGTACTGTAAATTAGCATTGTACCAAGGCGTCGCCGCTGTTGTTTTCTTGCGCCAATCTGTATATTTGTTGCTCGTCAAAGAATTGTCCCTCGTTGCACCGTCTCCGCAAAAATAAAAAAAATAATGATAAAAAATAAAACGGAAAGACTCATTAGGTGATGAGTAGCAGTCGGCTGCGGCTCCTTTCTGTGAAACGCCTTATCAAAGATATAATTTGTCAGGGGAAAGGAGAGGGCTTAAAGTTATTCAGAGATTGTGCGTTTAGGAAAGAGTGAACGGGAGAGGCTAAATATAGGCTACTAATGGTATATAAACGTCCGTGAGATATCGCTACAAAAATACTAATTTCTTTCAAAATGTGTTTATAAGGCATATGGTGCTTATCATTATTATTGTCATTCAAAATCAACCACGCTTAATAACAGGAAGGGATCCCCGAGGACGGGATTTTCCTTCCTACGTTTGATAGTGCTTGTAAAAACGTCAGCGCAGAAAGAACACATTCCTACACCGGCATTTGAACCAGGATTCATAGGTGTCAGCGGGTTAACTTTAATACATTTGCCTTCTTAACTCGACTTAAATGTGTAGTTTTAATACACACACACACACGCAACTATATATATATATATATATATATATATATATATATATATATATATATATATATATATATATATATATATATATATATATTTCTGTTCTCTCTCTCTCTCTCTCTCTGTCTCTCTCTCTCTCTCTCTCTCTCTCTCTCTCTCTCTCTCTCTCTCTCTCTCTCTCTCTCTCTCTCTCTCTCTCTCTCTCTCTCTCTCTCTCTCTCTCTCTCTCTCTCTCTCTCTCTCTCTCTCTCTCTCTCTCTCTCTCTCTCTCTCTCTCTCTCTCTGTCCCCACACGCTAAGCGTATTAAAATCAATGACTCATCCCATTTTGCTCCAAATTTTCAAGATGAGGGCACGGGGCAAGCACATGCCCCCGGAGCAGCCACCGTGCCGATACTACCCGGCCGCTCACATGAAAATTTGAACGTAATACAAAGTATATATAGTGAGCATATTATCCGAACGATAGTAAAAAATATTGAGAAAGGATAGGCTGTTCTACCCTCTCGGAACTGCACCCCGCCTCCCCGCCTCAACGATGAGACAGAGTTCCCAAGCTTGGGAAGATTAATGTGGCGAGCCATAGTGTATCTAAACAGTCGGTGTCTCCAGCCTTACTATAGGCTTCATCACTTACTTCAACGCCAGCTTAAGTGTCTGGTTCAGCCCCTTTAGCGGCAGTTTCAACACATCGACTTCAGTACCTGCTATAAACACCTGTCCCAACACGATATCGGCATCGCTTTCAGTGCCTGCAAATTGCAAGAAAGTAAGAGCCTACAGCAAATGCTGCTGCAGAAGATATAAGAGATAATGCTCATGCTACGGCAACAGCATGCAAGTACAGTTCCAGGAAAAAAATAATGGTCTTTGGACAACAACGGTTATCCCTCTACAATCTGTAGGAGACCTTGGGAATTATCAGCTGACAAATGATGGTCCACGATGACTATAAGTGTACTGCAATAACTTGAAATATCAATATTTTTTATGACACACTGTTAATTTCTGTATGATTACACATACATATACGTACTAACAAATACGGTAAGGTAAGCATCAAGGTGCAGCCCTCTCTCTCTCTCTCTCTCTCTCTCTCTCTCTCTCTCTCTCTCTCTCTCTCTCTCTCTCTCTCTCTCTCTCTCTCTCTCTCTCTCTCTCTCTCTCTCTCTCTCTCTCTCTCTCTCTCTCTCT